CAATCAGGCAATGAACTGCAAGGATCCCGTCACGGAGGAATTTATCTTGCAGACCTGTCATAACAATTTATCCATTAACATCTTGGATGTTATGGGAATAGAGCCGTTCAGTACCTGGAGAGAATTGGAGGTGCGCGGAGAACAGGCCGAACGCTTCCTCAGAAGGAGGAAGGCCGAGAGGAGCCAACCGATGGTTAGCCCTCTGAATTCGAGTCTCGTACCTCATGATGAAAGGGACGCACCTGCAACAGTTATTGACGATAATCAAACGCCACAACAACAGCTCCGAAGACAACAGAATACTTCGGAAGACGTTCCAGCTATTTTCGAGACCCTTCTCGAAAACAACAAAATCAAGCTCCCGCCCATCACGAATCAGGAGGAAGCTGACGATCCTGCAGATCCAACGTACTGCGCATACCACAGGAGGAGCCTCCATCCCACCAAGGATTGCTTTGCTCTCAAGAATAGCATTCAGACCTTGGTCGAAGCCGGCGTTATAACGTTAGGGTAAGCCAATTGAGAACGGTGACACTCCGACAAGTATAAGAGTATAAACTGCTTCTTAACACGCCGACAAGTATAAGAGATACGAGTATAAACTGCTTCTCAATCCTCCAACAGGTGCATGAGGTTAAACTGCTTCCAACATACTCCAATAGGTATATGAGTCTAAACTGTTTCCCACTTTTGACGGGAAGTTCCTGGAGGATATTACGCTAATATTCTTAAGGATAACCCGGTCAGATAACAAAGTCAAACCCAGTTCCAAGAGGGAAGCTGGGGGTGGATAATCCAATGTATCGGGAAGTTCCCGGAAGAATACCACATGGGTATTCTTAGGGATAACCCAATCATTGTGGAATTGACAAATAAAGAGTATAAACTGTTCCTCAATACTCCAAAGAGTACAAGAGTATAAACTGTTTCTCGATACTCCGATAAGTATAAGAGTATAAACTGCTTCTTGATCCTCCTACCGGTATAAGAGGTTAAACTGCTCCCAGATACTCCGATAAGTATAAGAGTATAAACTGCTTCTCACTCCAAA